ATTAAAAAGGTATGGAGACAAAATACATCCCTGACGGACCCCTTTCTTGATTTTGAACCATCCAGTGTCTGCCTGCTCTGTTCTGAGGACTGCCTCTTGGTCCAAGTATAGGTTTCGCATTAGCACAATCAAATGTTCTGGGATTCCCATTCTTCTCAGAGTCAGCCATAGTTTGTTGTGATCCACACAGTCAAAAGCATTTGCATAGTCAATGAAACACAGATAGACATTCTTATCTACTATACAGAAATCAACAAACTTTTCCTGTGTAGTGCCAAACAGCAACTAGCTTAGGTTTTGCCATCCTGAGTCCCAGTTATTCAGCTCTACCCTCAACTCAAAACACTGTCATCAAGTCAATTCTGATTCATGGCAACTCCCTCCCATCAGGTTTCTGAGGCTGTAAATCTTTAAGCAAAGAGACTTCGATCCTTCTCTCAAGGAGCAGCTTGTGGATTTAACCTTTCCATTAGTAGCACAATAGAGAACACATTAGGTAGTAAGTTCTAAAGCACCATACACAAATATACACAAATGGGTGTGACCATGTTTTAATAAACTCACTCAATCACTGCCATCGAGTCACTTATAACACCTAGCAACCCTTCATTGGGTTTCCAAGGCTGCAAATTTTACCAAGAGGAATACGTCTTTCTCCCTAAGAATCACAAGACATTTTCAAAACCATACAGGCTAGATTTGCACCTGGTCCTCACTATTCCGATCTTAACAGAGCACTGCAAATACAAAAAATTCTGACGTTCATTACTTTAAGAGCCAATTCAGTATATCTGATTTATTTTACGTTTGACTACTGAATACTCTAAATTAAAGATTAAGAATCAGCAAAGATGATTTTTCTAAAATTAACTTCAAGTCTAAAATAAGCACATCACTTATTGAACAACAAAATAAAAATTAAAGTACACATACCAAATAACAAAGAAATATTTAAAAACGTAAAGAAGTTATATGCTATTGTTAATCTGCTATTTTTATTGATTGCTTTACATAAGGTGTTCCATTTTCTATATAACATTGCCTTAGGAAAGCACTAAGGACTACTAATAGTCTCTATAATATATGAAGCTTTGTGCTGGTTCAAATAAAGAATTTAAATAATAATTGGTATTATCTGAAGCTGACAAACTCTAAAAAATTTAAATTATATCTAATTAATATAGAGTTTATAGCTAAACTACATATCTCACTCCTTCTTCAAGTCTAAATTAAGCCCATGACATTCCAACTACAGTCATGATAATTAGTGAGAATTTTGCTGAAGTAAATGTCCATGGGCTCAAGTTTCAATTGATTTCCTATACCATTCAAATTCTGACTGACAATCTTGTACTCTGAGTGAAAAGAC